CCCCAAAACCCCAAAACCCCAAAACCCCAAAACCCCAAGATAATAATATTAATTTGAAATTAGTATTAATAATCTTTATGGATTATTACTTCATATGTTCTCTTGCCTGACTTCTCAATTCTCTGCACCATAAACTTAGCCATTTTCTTCTGAAGCTCCTTCAACACTCTCTTCCATTGCTTCGGCTCTTTGCTTCTAAACTCCAACATCTCAGAGTGTTCTTGTGCAGTTTCTTCTGGTAATGCTATTGGCTTGCTGGGGTCAAACATCAGGTCTATCAACACTGCGTATATGAATAACAAGTAATGTGAGTCAGCTCTGGCATAGTTCAGCATCACTTTAGGAAGTGGCCTCAGTCTCCACTCAGCTCTCTGGAAGAACTTGTTAGCCTTGAACCCTAAGAATGCTGACACCAGGTAGTCGAAAGATGTCATCAATGGCTCGCTAGAAGACACAGTTCGCATCATTTCTTGGAGAGCACGACCGGTGTCGAACACGTTGACAACTTCGACTTCGAGGTCTGTCAGCAACAACAAGATGTCGTAGTCACAGCCATGAAACACTTTGACAACTGCAGGATCACCGAAAACTGGACTTAACACAGGACCCACTGCATGTCTGAGCACAAGTGCATCGACTATGTAGTCAGCCTCCAGTGTAGAGATCTGTAGCAGAGATGCAATGGCTATCCTCTTGTCGCCTGCAAACTCAAGATCGACTCCGAGTACTTTGTGGCCAGTCAGTTCAGCTCCACACAGCTCCAATGCTTCGAGAGTGTCAACGAAGGTGCAAGGCTTGTCTTTGATCGAGGGGATGTGTTCTGTGTATGAAGGGTCTATGTGTCAGACTGGGCTTACCTGATAAGTCGATTCCACACTCGACTGAGTACTCCACTACAAACTGGTACTTCTTCGCAAGTGCTTCTGTGGTCTTGATGAGGTCTTTGTGAGCTTGTCGTGCAGCTAGTCGAGTCTTTTCTGCAAGGGCTTTCTTGTCTGTGGAGGCTTCTTGTTCTGGAGTCTGGTCATGCACAATTTCAACATTAAGCACTTCTGCTGCACCATACATGTCGTCATCTGGTCACCCAGCAACACTGGAGTACTTGAACACGATTGGAGCGTAGATCTTCATGCCAGCTCAGAACTCGAGTACGCTCAGTCCATCAGCTTCGTTCTTGTGTTCGAGGAACTGAGTGCGGACTTGCTCTGCTGAGCCAGTTTCAATTTCAAGCTGTGCAAGCAGTTTCTGAAAGATGTAAGAGTCTCCTTCTGATCGACTCACCACCAGGTGCAAGATGTTGTCACCGTTCGGCAACAATGATGAAGCTTTGTATGCAGTTTTATCAAGCAACAGCTTCACAAGCTTGGTGTTGTCCAGACTCACTGCAAGTTGAAGAGGGTTCAGAGCTGTAAAGCGAGCTGTCTGGGCTTCATCACTAAATATTGGGTGGGCCACTCTGGCAAAGTAAGTGTACTCTTGCAACACATCATTAGTGATGACTTGAGTGAACTCATCTGGAACACAAACTGCACTCTGTGATATCTCGGAGTCACAGAACTGCTCTGCAAATGTGTCAACGATCAAGGTAGCGAAGTGATAATTTTGAGTGAACACTGCTGACTGTAAAGCCACCTGAGGCAGTTCTCCATCATAATATTCAACAATCTGGGAGAAAGTGTCAGAGTCATTGAAGTGGATGGATGACTCGAGCACAGCCTGAGTGAGTTTGAAGTGAGTGAAGAGTTCTTTGTGTTTATAGAAAACCAGGAGAGAATGAACAGCATGTTTGGAAGATCTAAGCAATGCTCTGTGTAGTACATCTACAAATCATCTCGTTATCGTTTCAGACTCTTTCGACCAAATGTATTCAAGTATAAGTTCGAGTACATCCGCTTTATTTTCGTTGCAATCAACAGCATGATGCAGCATTTTCTGTTTGTCATATGCTTGAATATCCAATCCTGAATACTTCTTGTTGTTATTGACTTCTTCATCAATGACCCACTTGATTATATTGTGCTGGTTTCGTCTTATCGTCTATTTATGATTAAAATATACATGAGACAACTTACCAATTCGAAGGCGCTGTATCCGTCAAGGTTAGTTCCAGAAGTATCAAGGCTATCATATTCATACAGGATTTTGATACATTCAAGGTTGTCATTGTAGCATGCGCTCATGAAAGGTGAACTTCCGTATTGATTCTTCACGTTGATCTCAGCTCCATTTTCTATTAATAACTTGATACAGCTATTTCCAAAGTTAAGTGCTGCAATGCCTAGAGGTGTATTGTTTTTTCTATCTCTTGAATCAACTTTTGCTCCATAATCCAAAAGCATTTTAGTAATTTGTTCAGATCCATAATCAGTATCTCCGGGAGCTTCATCAGCATGTTCTTCGAGTTTCCTGTAGACTCAGTTATGCAATGCAGTCTTCCCTTGATAATCTTTCATTTCTGGGTCGACTTTTCCTGTTGCGAGGAGGGCTTTCACTATTTAATATATTAGATCTTGAAAATCCAGGAGGTTCTTGCAATTTCAGTGTGCCTGTTAAATGCAGTAAAATTGAAGAAGCTGACTGAAACAAGCGAAGACCCTTGATTGTTTTCGGATAAAAGCTTAATGATTCCTCAAAATCTCAGGAAATTGCTTAATTGGCTCAATAATCTATTTCTACACTGCTAGTTCAGTAATGTTATAAGGCTTAGAGGAATCAAGAAAAAATTATTATCTGAATTATAGAGATCCTTCCTTGTCTTAAACCAATTTCTCCTACATAACAACATTGAGGAAAGATAATGAGTTTCAAGAGACTTCTGAGTTCTTCTAAATCCACTATACCTCCTCTATGAGTTCAGGTTCTAATCTAATCAGTTATTCCAGAATTTAGTGTTTAATACCAACAATCAAACAATTATTTTCTTGATTTATTTGTATTATCAGAAAATGTTAATTCGTCAGGAATTAGAAACACAATATTATTGGGGGAAAGACAAAATATCTTGTGTAAAAACTAATATTTTCAAAAATTGAAGAGTAGAAAACTCGAGAATTGTATTAGTGTACCTATATCAGCAAAACGTCAATTCGAAGCTTTAATCAAGGGTGTTCTGAAAGTTTTGGAGTCAACATTTGGATCACATCCTGCATCTATTAATAATTGAACAACTGCTAATCCTCCATATCTAGATGCCATATATAGTGCTGTTCTTCCGTGGCAGTCTTTGTGCTCCAAATTTATGTCCTGACCAATCATATACTCGACAACATTGGCATGCTTCTCTTTAATAGCCCAATAAATTGGAGGAATATAGTCAACATCAAGTACTTCAAGATTTCAATTATTTTCTTTAAGTAATTTTCACATCTCTAGATCTCCATTTGCACAAGCAATGTGAATAAGAGATGGCTTCTTCTTGTGATTAGGATCGACTGAATGCACTAGAACAGGTTTTGCTCTTAGAATCATCTTAACTTTCTTTGTATCTCCAGATTTAACTGCTTGCAGTACTTCATTAGATCCTGTTAATTGTTTCTCTTTAATTTTCTTTGCTTTCTTAGGTTTAATATTTGTCTGAGGCCCATTGATTTTGTCATACTTGATCTCCATCAAACCCTCAATCCAACATCAGTGTCTGTAAATGTGTTCGAGTCCTTCGAACTGAGCCTGCTTCATGCGGTTCCACACTGCTTCGTTCTTTCTAAGCATGCTGACTGTGATCACGTCGAGGACACCGACTGAGTGGCCGGCCATGGTGGTTCTCAGAGCCAGGTGTTTGTTGAGCTGCTTGAGACCTGGGAGAGCATGGTCGAAGGAAGTATTGTTGGTGCCTTTGCCATGCAAACACTTGAACAAGTGGCCAGTCCAATGGATACTAGTTTCATATAGTATCTATATTTTTCTCCATAAGCTTTGCATGAATAAAGAGGTTCCAAATTCTTTGCTTTTTCAAAGCTTTAAAATTTCTCAAGAGTTTAGAAAAATGAACTAACTATGAATTCTATTACATTTTAGACCAACATCATACCTAATTTCCCCATAAATATCCAAAAAATTCCCAAAACATCTCAAAACTACAATAGAGGTCTCTTCAGTCCTTCTCACTCCCCTAACCAAACAATCGCTTACCTTGTCTTCAGTGTCTATCAATGAATCATAAGTTGAGAGTAGTTGGGCATTCCCTAGATGAGTTAGATTGTCAGAAATTTTAGTTGCAAAGCATCAGATATTAGGCCTGGACGAAGTCGTCTCTGGACTTATAAGTAACTCTAAGCTATGCCTACATTTAGTTAATTCCTCTTGAAGGTCCTCTATGGATAGTATGTGGTATTTTGTGAAGAGGTCGTTTTCTGTTTGGGTCTTGGTGATCTCTTCTTGTTTGATAGCTTCGAGGATGGTTTGGTGAGGAGATCGTTTGTGTGTGGTCTATATAAACTTCAATTACTGTTCACTAAAACAAACTACAAAAGTCTCCTTAAATAGCCATTAAGATCAAGGTTCTCTTTTGAAGCTCCAAACACACTTTTAAAATTGAGCAATGGCAACTCGGGAACTCAGAAATTATGAAATTTTGGATAGAAGGAAATACGCCTGGAAATTTAGCAAGGCTGAAAGACCCATCACTCAGAAGTCAGATGGCGAAAATCTTACATCGTTGAGTAATAGATCCCGGAATCTGTTGGTCTTGTACAGTTTGTTCAATACAGCTGCTTCCCAAAACATTATTTTTATTTAGCAATAAATAATATATAACCTATTTCATTAAAAATTATCCAATCAATTCAACCCAAACCTTCACCCTCGGGGTTTTGGGGTTTTGGGGTTTTGGGGTTTTGGGG